ACTGCACAATTGCTTTCTCCAGCTATGATTGATGAATTGTATTTACAAGTGTAGCTGTTAAGCAGGATAAACATTTATAACAATTTCTGCTTAAAGATTTTTATTTTCATTCCCATAAGGACAAATTAAAGACTGATATCACTAATACCAAGAGAAAGTGGAGTTTTTTAATGTTTCATTTTAGAGGAGTTGAAAAAAGTTTTTAAAAGCCACACGTCCACACAAATGGAATAAAAGCTTGTGTAAAGTATCTTGATTCGTGCTCTGCAAATAATCAGCATTAACAAATCGTAGCCTGTTCCCGTAGTATAACTGCATACCAACTATCAAAATATGACACTTCTGTGAACCAGAAATCACAGTTTGAATTTGTGAAAGACAAAGAGCTAGACTGAAAGAAATGACCTAACCAAAACCCCAAACACAGACCGTAAGTAATAACAAAACAAACGCTCCCACTGTGCAAGCACCTATATTACAGCAGGGGTAAAACATGTTTTGAACCGTCACAGAAACTGGGCATGGAAAATGCTACAATATTCTACAGATGTGAAAAAAAAGTCAGGTGAAGATTATGTTATTTGCACAGAGTTTATGCATTTTTCAGTGACAGTGTAGATAATGTTTTTTATTTCAAATTAATATGAGGGTACAAATGTTTAAGTTACATTGTTTTCACTTGTAAGGTAAAGTCCAAGTCGTAGTTGAGCCCTTCACCCAGGGGGCGAGCGGAACACCCTCACATTGTGCACATTAGGTGAGATCTCGCCAATTTCCCAGCCTATTAAAATACGTATTATAATATAATATTCATATTATAATATGCTGAGGCACTGTATAAATAGCCATTAAAAATACCCTACAGATAAACAGGCACTAAAACCATGGTATAGGAAACTTAAGCCAGGGTAAATGGATGTGCAGGGAGACCAACAAAGCCATCTAATCCCGATCGGGGTAGGGTGGGGGAGGGGTTAGTGCCCTGAAGAGATTATTTTCATTAATCTAAGAGAATGTTTGGACATTTAAAGCAAATGCCTATCATCTTTGTACTGAAGATGCTGGGTAAAACCTTATGCCATCAAGACAACAACCTCAACTGGCTTCCCAAACCATCCAGCAAGCGCCTGAAGTCCCCTTAGTATTTCCTCTCCTCTGGTTTTCTACAATGGATATTTTCAGTATTCTCCACTCCTCAAATATGACATGCACCTTCCCCAATTTCCATTCTCAGCAAATCACCTTTCTTACCCTTTTACAGATAAAACAGAAGGCATCACATGAGAATTTGTCTGATCCTGCCACCAGCTTAAAGCTGTACCACAAAAGGCCCAGCTTCCACCCGAGTGCCCGTCACTCCATCCATGCTGCATGCTTATCCTCCCACAATACTGCTTCTTCCTATCAGCATTTAAAAATACTCAGGTTTTTCTTTCTAAAATGCCCTGGCCCCCTTTGGCACCCTCATTCCACCTGTAATTACTTAGTCTGAGATGGGTGCCCCCCCAGGCTGAGTACTCCAACCAGGCAGGGCCGGCTCTATGTGCAACGTCTTTAGCACACAGGTTCTCATCACTGTAAGTTTGGACGAGATCACCATGACCCTCTTGTGACTGAACCCACTGGTCCCTTTGATCCCGACTTAAGAATCCTCCTCTGGTCAACTGTTCATTCTTCATCAAACATTCTACTTACCATTCTTCTCTTCATTCCTTCGATACATATTTGTAATTACTAACTACATGCCAGGAACTACTCCTCCACACTGGGATAGAGCAGCAAATACGACAATGAGAAGCACATGAGATATTAAGGAAAGCCCTTTTCAGGGTAGGGACAGACACACACACATGTAAACAAGTGGCCAGAGCAGCTCAGTTGAGATGACATTTATTATTAAATGTTAAAACATGGTCGTGTTGTAGGCTGCGTTCAATAAGATGGTCAGGGGAGCCTCTGTGAGATGCTGACATTTGAGCTGATTACTGAATTTGAGACACAGCCAGTCATGGGAAGATGTGGAGGAAAAGGATCCCCAGCAGAAATGGCAGGAACGGTGTGGCCCCGGTTCCCACTCACTCTCCACACTCTACCTGAGCAGCACATCTGCATTCTTTCTTTCTTCAGCACATATAAGCTGGAGACTCCTAGATCTAAATCTCCATTCCAGCTCACTCTTTAGAGAGCTCAATACTCAAATGCCTAGAAACCTATTCAACATCTTCTCTTGGATTTTTGCAGGTACTACAAGTTCATTATAGCCCCAAATGAAAAACTCTCTCATTCAATCTATGCCCTCCTCTGCATGATGATAGCTAAGTGAACTATACCCATACTATAAACCAGGCATCCTCAAACTACAGCTCGTAGGCCATATGCAGCCTGCCTAGGACATTTATCCAGCCCGCCGGGTGTCGCTGGGTGTTTTTGCTGCTGCTGCCTGTCTTGCTTAGCAGCCGACTCATCCTGGGGCCCACAGTCCAGTCTTCCAATGGTCTGAGAGACAGTGAACTGGCCCCCTGTTTAAAAAGTGTGAGGACCCCTGCAGACTATCTAGTTAGTAAAGTTGGAAATCAAATTATCCTTGATTCCTTCTTTCCTCTCTACCATTCAATCTATCAGCAGGCCTACTGACTTAATTTCTAAAAGAGACTTCAAATCTGCCCACTTCTTCCATCCTCACAGGTACTATTAGTTCATGACAGCACTTTCTTAAACACAATTCCTGAAATCTCAGTATCCTTGTTTAAGTTTCGAGCCCCTGAAATCCATTCACCATATTGTAGGCTATGCTGAAACCTTTTCAGCTACTCCCCAGCACCTTTAGTGTGGCTTATAACCTGTTCTTGAGATGACTTTTGCCAAAGACCCCGGCCCTCTGTGGCTGGCACACAGTATGCACTTCAATAGCTGCTGACTGAAAATAGCTTCCCAGTAACATATCTTCCTATCTTTGGCTTCCCTTTACCATAGAATTCCCTCTGTCCAGAATTGTATCTCTCTCTTTTTTTCCATCTGCCTATCTCTCGATCATCTCTAAAATGTCATTGCCTTTAGGTAAGTACACTATCTGAAAACCCTGATAACCTGCAACCTGGTGGAACGTATCCCTCCAGACTAGGTGGTTACTCTGCTGTATCTCTATCACCTTTTCATAGCAGCCTTGTTTATCATATAGGCTGTCTGGGGTAAACATTTCCCCAGAACTTCAGAACTATGTGCATCTCATCCACTTCCCTCTTACAATAGCATTTGTTATGTAGTGAGTGCCGAACAGACATTTCCAGAACTCCTATATACATTATCTGCTCTTGTATATTCATAGTGAATTCTTACTCCAAAGTTATTTTTTATTTGGAGAAACAATTGCTATGAAGAGTGGAAACACAGATTTCAGATGGCAAAAATAACCCTATAAAGAGAACTTTAGAGATTTTGATAGATTAAATTTTAAAAAATTATAACTTCTTTCTCTATTTCCAACTCCTTTTACAAATATGAAGCAAATCCCAAACTCTATCACTCAACAATGAAACCATATCAGAGACGTAAAACCTCTGATATTAGCAAATTTTCATACCCCCTTTTCTAATCCAATAACTATAAATCCTAATTTACACTCTGGAGGTTCAATGCTGTAACTCTCAGGAAAATTACTAATGTAAGATCTACTTCAGTAAAACCAGCTAACCTTTTTCTTAATAGTTGAAATAAGTATAATTAGCATATGTGAATTGAAAGTTATTTCTGAAAGTGACATGACAATAATATAAAACTTGAAAAATTTGTCTATTTTTTATCACTTGAAAATGTATAGTAATTACCAATTCTTATCAAAATGAAATTTTATATGAAACAGTGAGTTCTGTTAAGAAAAATACTATTTGTATTCTAAAAGAAAAATTAATATTTTCCAGCATCTTTTGGATTGCAATAAATGCAAAGTTTAAATTTCAGACTTGTATTATTATGACTAAGAATGATTAGGTCGCAGAATATCAAAATGAGAAATACATATTAAGAGTAATGGCTATAGAAACAAGAGATTATTTCTCAGAATATAATGTAAAGACAGAAAAGAAATGAGTAACACTCAATAAGATTTAAGTTAATTTTTTTGAAAATTGAGTTTCTATACTCTACATAAACTCATTTTCAAAGAATATTCTTTTATAACCTTCCCCTTGTAAAAGATAACTTTTATATACAGTAAGCATTATTTCTTTGTTAATCTAACGAAAGCTGGCTTCAAATATGAAAAAAATAGGTTATTTCAAATACTCAGTAATTATTTTCCAAAGAATGTGCTGTATCATACAAGAAATTCAAGTTGTGAAGGATGCGGATCTTGGGCTCACAGAAGCTATACGTGTCAAATGGTGACAAGTTAACATGTATCTTAACATGTCCATTGACAATAAAGCATACAAAATTCACCATTAACAAGTATTTACCACAAAACGACAAATACAACAGTGGGTTCAAACATAACTTCATTTAGTATTTTAACAATGGTGTAACCAAGACTGTTATACTTCCTATATAACAAATATAGGAATATACAAATATAAAAATCCTTGACATTTTCAGTTGGATAATGAACACATGACATGTTCGCATAAAACTATTTCACGTGAACTGATGAGGCCGAGGGAGTAAACACTGCACACGGCTCTGAAAACAGATGGTGTGGCAGATGGGACTGCAGATTGGGTTCACTTGATCTGTGTAAAACAACTTTACTAGTCAGTAAGATGTGGCTCACATCTCACAAAAACCTTACAAAGTTTGTGCCTTTGTTTCATATATGCCTTTTATCCAAAAAAAAAAAAAAAAAATGTTTAACATTTTAATTTTGTTAATTTGAAGTTTAAATACCTTTGTGATAAATTATTTAACTAAAAGATACTTCTTCTTTGGAACAGATGGCAGCAAAGACAGTTGCCCAGTGGAATAAAACGTATACTGACTAGTTGCCCAAAAATTGTAAAATTAATTACCTTCCTTCATTGATGAGTTCAATAAATGCCAGTCCTGCATTCTTCTGAATAGAATTTTGCCATTCCTAAAAGGAGAAACCAAATCAGATAAATGTAAGAAAAACGAACATATACATGAAAGTACATCTGATTTAAGGATTACGTTGATGTTAGTTACTTCCACATGCTATTACTTCCAAATGTCTTTAAAAATTTTAAAAACAAATGTTGTTTTGTAAGAAATCAAATTTTTAAAAGGCATCCATGAATCACTTAGTTTAGAAGGTGCTTTTGCATTACAAGAAAATTTCAGACCTGATGCAGACTGATGAAAAGTGTTTAGACTCCAGGCACAGGGTGCTCTTAGCACAAAGCTTCCTTCCAAAAAAGACCAAATGACCAAAAGAGATCTAATGTGGCTATATAAGGACTAGAAATATTTGGGATAGAAAACTTTAATTCCTAATATAGAGATTTTCCATTGAGATTGTAAAATAAAAACTAGAAATATAAACAATGTATTTACATGTGACTTAGAAGTGAAATGCTCTAGTTACATGTATATTCCAAATTATTGAAATCTACATAGAAAAACATTACAAATAAAGTTTTTTGAAATTAAAAAAATACTTAATAGTAAACCTATAGCTAAATATGCAATATTCAGATAACTATGTAATTCTCTTTGCTAATTTAGATTAGAGTCTATTTATGAATCTAGAAGTTCTAGAGGTCAGGGTTATCATTGTGAACACAAGTGACTGGCATATTGTGTTTTGAATTAGAAAAGCGTATTGCTTATTTTATACTTTTTCTATGGCATACTTAGAATGTGATTTTTTAATATTTGGTTTATTCTACTTATTTCAACTTTTTAAAAAATGTAGCTCATAAATTGCAGAGTGTTCTTGGTATTAAAAATTATAATCCTGCCAATAGTTCTATAAATAAATACTTTTTTGGTTTGTTTGTTTTTGGTGCTGCAGAGCCAAGTTATTTCAGAGAGAGAGAGAGTATGCACGCTTCTGCATAGCCATGGAAGGGGACCCAAGAGACGGTTGTCCTATGAATACTAATTTTTCAAATAAAAAAATCACTAATACCATTCACCTATAGATTCTTTCCTCCATGATTTTCCAAATAAATAATATGCTCACTACACCTGATCACATTCCCCTTAAAGAGTCTGTACACGTGCTGGAAGTAAAGCAGGTACCTGGATGTGTAAGTCCTCCTTACTCTAAGTAAATATGTGAAAAACTATAGGAGCAAAAATTCTTAATTTCCCAAAGAAAAAGAATCAACAACTTTGTAAAAGAGATATGGTAGTCAGCAGATAGTGCAAAGCCATTGGGCTTTATAACAACTACCATAATCTTTAATTATAATTTATTCAAATGATAAGATTGCTCTTCCATTTTATAGACTTTATTTAAAGTTTCAAATCATTTCTGTCAAAAACAATCATAGGGAGACAGAAGATTTTGAAACTCTAATATACATTTTGGTTATGTTTGATACATCTTAGAAAATAGAAAGATTAAACTAGTAATGTGACATAGTGAGTGAGATAACTTGTAAATCAAGAAAATATGTGGCCCTAGTCACAAAACGATAGTGTAGAAATACATTTATTGACTAAGAATAATGTTCACAGACTGCTGTGCAAAAATAACACATTAAAAAGATTTATTTGACAAAAGAAAAACAATTATAGGGAATTCCTTTTTCTACACTTTTATCTTACTATGATTCTCTTGGAAGTTTCAATTATACATCTTGTATTTACTGCAGATCAAGATCCAACAAAACGCGCAAACTTCTCAGGAAAATACTGGACATTTCTTAAGGTATTAACTTATAGAAAAAACTGATTATTATGTAAAAAGAATCATGCCACCACAAGAACAGATTCTATTCTTTTTTTTTTTGAGACAGGGCCTCAAGCTATCCCCCTGGGTAGAGTGTCATGGCTTCACAGCTCACAGCAACCTCCAACTCCTGGGCTCAAGCGAGTCTCCTGCCTCATCCTCCCAAGTAGCTGGGACCACAGGTGCCTGCCACAACACCTGGCTATTTTTTGGTTGCAGCCGTCGTTGTTTGGAGGGTCCGGGCTGGATTCGAACCCACCACCTTAGGTGTATGTGGCTGGCACCTTAGCCACTTGAGCCACAGGTGCCGAGCCCACAAGAACAGATTCTTACAAACAAATTCTCAAACATGATTTTCCATAATACTGTTTGTACACTAAGGGTCTGCAAGCAGCATAAACTACTAATATGAATAAGATTTCACTAAGATATTTCAGAGTACATAACGAAGTATTACATGTGCATCCGAAAATTTACCTTGTCTAAAAACTCATAGAATTAAGATGCTTAAAAAATTCTGTTCAGACTTCTTTTTTTTTTTTTTTTTGGCTGGGGCTGGGTTTGAACCCTCCACCTCCGGCATATGGGACCAGCGCCCAACCCTTTTGAGCCACAGGCACCACCCTCTGTTCAGACTTAACTAAATTTATCTACAATTGGCATTCAGCCTATGAGACACTAATTTATAATCTTCGATAGAGGAATAGTAGAAGGCTGAGCTAAGCTACAGGCATTAGAAATTAAAGGATGAGAAGCCTAAGATTTTATTCAAGAAATTAGTGTTTTAGAAGAGTAAGTTGTCATTTTTGAGTGAGATGAAATAGTAGAAAATTGTTTTATATGCCTTTCCAGAAAGGAGATAATAGCACCCTAAATTAGCATTTCAAATGGGGAATAAAAAAATAAGAGAATTACCAAAAATGATGCCACAACTGGATGATAGTCTGGATTGAAAGGCTGATATCGAGGAGTAGGATAAAAAAAAATTATAAAAAATAAAAGTTTTTATTTCTCAATGTGGTTGAGTGGGATAAGGGAGTGTATCATGGAAATGTTGAAGAAGGGCACATTTGGGGGAAAACCACAATGTTGTCCTCAGCTAGTATTTGTTGGAAGAGTGACAATGGTAGATCAAAAAGGAATATGGGATTCGGAATTGTTTACATAGTAATATCAAGGCAAGCATTGGCAAAAGTCTCCTAAGAAGAATACACAAAGAGGATCCCAGAGTGAAACCTGGAAAGCCTTCACATGTTTAATATTAGAAAAAGAAGTATCTGAAAAGCAATAAAATAAGATCTACCAAAACTTAATAACAAAGACAGAATATTATAGTAGTACTCAAGGAAACAATCCACCTATATCCATTGGGTCAGTAAAACAGAAAGATAAAAGACTCTTTAGTCACAATGATTATGGTCAAAGACAGCAACTATAGTGCCGTGACAACCTGACGTGAAAGACACAGACCAAACCAAGAGCAGAAGGGTAATCAGGGCGGGGTGGGGTGGGGAGGGACACGGGACCTAGAGCGTGAAAGGCAATGGAGCACAGAAAAAAATTCCAGGAATATAATAGAGACATATGAAGATATGGGAGACATGAACAGGACATGAAAGTATCTCCCAGGAAACAGAACAAAAAGATAGTGAGACGCAACAAAAAGGGATGGAAGACAAACAGGATAAGAAAACTAGGGGACTTTCCTTTGAAAGGCCAGTGTCTACTGTGTAGGTGATGTAGAAAAAGTGAATAAGGACCAAGGAAAACAAGAGATTATCAAAGATACTCAGTTTTTTCCCCAGGAATTAAAAGTAGGAAGATGGACCACTAAGTTTCAAACTCTTCCAAGACAAAGTACAAATACCTCACTGCTGCATATCACTCCAGTCACCTTGGAATGACTACATCTCACTACAGTCATCTTCCTGTTGGGAAGGTGTGCACTAATGCTAGAGGCTACCCTCAAAGCACTTTATCTAGGATGAGTTTGCAAGCTTACTTCTCGAACTTTTGTATGATAACAGCTCTGATGGCCATTGTATAAAAGAAGCTCTAAAATTGCTTTGAAGGGTGGACTGGGTGCTGGCATTGGTAGCCAGCTTCCCAAGGGCACTACTGCGAAGGGGTCCTGGGAGATGTTCAGCTACGAGGTATGCAGCACTTCTTTTAGGATGAGTTCACAAATATTAATCGTCAGACTATAAATGACATAAAATCTCCAGAAAAGCATATGATCATAAAACTTTGGAATACTATGGTTAAGGAAAAGGCTCATAGGAGAAAATAAATAAAAAATTATACAAAGAATAGTAAAACTGGAAGACAGAAGGAAACAATACCTTTAAAATTATGAGGAGCATAATACTCAGAACACACGATGCATCCAAAACATCAGTAAAATTTCAGGACAGAACAATCACATTTTGGACATTTATAAAACTCTATTTTTCATCCATTCTTGTTCAAGCACCGACTGATGGTGTCCTCTGCCAGAATTAGTGAATACATTAAACAGAAGAGACACAATTATTCTGTGACACTGCCCAGACCTCAAGGACTTAAGAAACAGAAGTTTATTTCTGGCTTAAGTCCTGTGTCCACTGCCCATGCTCTGCTCTCAGTAAGGTCATCACTGACCTCACTGGAGCCAGAATGCCCACTCAACCGCTGTGTGGAGCACTGCTGGCCATCAGGATAGAGGGAAAGGGACTGGCCACTGGCTCTTGCAGCCTTTGCCTGAAAATAACACATGGCACTTTTGCTCACATTTGCTGGCCAGACAAAGTCACATGACTAATCCCCCAGCTCACTAGAAAAGAGCAGTGCAAACCTACCAGTGCTCAGAAGGAGCGAAAGAACCAAATTCACGTGACTGACCTGACACATCACTATGAAGGAAGAAACCAAAAAAGGGGTAGACATGTATCTAAGAAACAGGGGACTGATGGACACGAGAGAGGCAAAGTGACCACAATGCATTAAGGCAATAAGAGTTTAATTCTAGAACCTTAGTAACATTGGATGGAAAACAAAGGAACAATACTTACATACATTTTTTTTTTAACAAAAATTATATACTCTAGTGCCTTTTTTATAGATTAATGATTTACTTGTCAAACACGGATATTTTCTTTTCTGCCACACATGCACTGACATGATACGGCTTGGAGCATAAGAGCAGTTTTGCAGGCCTTGATCTAAGTAATGGCTAA